AGATAGATAGATAGATAGATAGATAGATAGATAGATAGATGTATATACAAAGTATATACTGTAAATTTCTATCAATATCATACTGTTTGTATATATTGTTATAACAATTATTTTGTTATTATTTATTTTCTGTTGTTTGTTCTTTTGCATGTACAGAACTTTAGTCAACATTAGTTTTGATTTCTTAAATGTTTATAATTAAAAATTTCTTGACATATTAAGGCATATTTGCATACTATTAAATAAAAATGTTATTTTATAAGTCTGACGTATATGCTTTGAAGTACTTAGTGTGAAGGTCTGACAGTTTATAGCTGTGATATTTCTTTAATTTTTGACATATACTCTAGCTTTTGCTCACATCTGCACATCCCACAGCCCTGAACTGGACAAAGTCGGTGGGCCACAGAAAATTGATGGATGCATGAAACTAACATTTGCATACATTAGTCCAGCCGCAAATATGTCAAAGTAGTTTACCATGTCATTAAACATGAATGCCTTTAGTTCTGGATATGCATTATGTTTCAGAAGTGCATTTGTTTAGTCCTGTTGAATCATGTCAACTTGTGAATGTTTGGTGTCAAAGCTAGGGCAGCATCTATGGCATCTAATCTGTTATCTAGATAAACAATTTTAAAATCTAATGTGACAAAAGCAACCAAGAAAATTCAAATAATAGATTGTAATTATTGTATTGATGATAACTATTGTAATTAGCTGATATGTTATTTTAGCAGGGTAAATGTAGCATCAAAAAAACCTTCACAAAATCTAACTATAATGGATAACTTTACAGATAACCATATGGATTTTCTGTGAGCAGGTTAGATTGAGCGTTATAAAAAAAAACTGAAGGTAGACGACGTAACTACAACACTCACTGCCACCTACGCTGTAAACGTGCATAATAAACAGGAAAAGAACCCAACATAGATTGATTGACATGTTGACTGACAAATAATACTACGGTCTGGTGAGAAACAACCAATCACCTGTCTACAACGTAAGGCGGGACTTCCGGTGTATGACGCAAATACTCCCGGTCAATAGAGGAGGCCCCACCTTTCGTGTTACCTACCGCCCGTCAATCAAAATACAAAAAAATCTGACACTTATCACCTATTTTTGCGCGTATACAATCAAATTATTCTGCTTACAATGTCCAGTGGTTTGTGAATATCAGGACTTTCCGTTTAGAGAGGAGTCACGCAATGACTGGTATGTAATATTCCTAATTTTCTTTACCCGTGTAAGCTAACAGGCTATCTCTGGCATCCTTCGGCTAAATTAGCTGCTAACTGGGGTGTTTGTTGCTGATACTGCTAATCATCGCCGACTACGATAGTAGCTTAACTGCTCTGGTCCATCTTGTTTAGAACTTCTCATTACTTCAACTTTCATTTAACTAACCACATGTACGTTGCAGTTTTATACAAATGCTCTTGTTGTTCGCTTCTTCGCGGACGCTTTTAGATGCTAGTCATCAGGTACAGCTAACATTAGCCACAGCTGTTGTTGTACTTTTCTATAAACTTCAAATTATTTGCTACTTTCCAGCCCCAGAACAGCCACTAAAACCAGATGATATGGCTGCCCCGGATGCTGATCGCAGTCAAGATGATTTTTTACAGCAAGAAAAGAGCAATGGCAATCAGGTAAGACTTCCATCTTGTAGCTGAAGTAGTTTTAAGCTCTTGTAACGTTGTTACCTGAGTGTTATTGGATGTGGTCGTGGGGAAATATCGTAAACTCATTTGAACCTTTCAGGCAACACCTCCTCTCTAGCTCCTTATTAATCCCGCCTCCTGATGTCTAGGTTGACATTTGTTGTAGTGCTTTGACCTACAGAGGTTTTTATTATTAGCATTATTATTTTAGTAGCGTTTTTTCCTTTGCAGCCAAATTGTGCAGTGTTCGCTTTGTTTTGGACAATGGTGACTTCAGTCCTGTTTGATCTGGCAAAAACATCCATTCTGGTTAATTTATTTTAAATGAACAGCTCTGAGTACTGGTGTTCACACCTGACACTGAAACCAACTCTGGGTGATCGGACCTGTTTATATTAACATGGAGCCACGTCACACAATCAGCTGCCAGCTGAGAAACAAACATCAGCTGATGTTTATGTAAACTCACCAAAACACGTTTCAAATACCTCAGACACATTTTTGTGCAGTTAACTACAAAACTTTTAATGAACTTCAATATGTGGCCTAACAGATGTGATATGAGAGAAGTAAAACTGCATTAAATAATGTGTGGCTTTACAGAGGTCATTGTCAATGCGTAAAATGTGTAAATGTCAATGTGTAAAACACCATTTTAAAAACCTGACGACTCACTGACAGGCTGCTTCTTGATTTAGTTGTTTTCTACACAACTTCACTGCATTCCCAAGTTCTGTGAAAAGGCTTCATAGGTGATACACAACATATTTTTGCAAAGCTTAAATTGTTGTAATATGAACAATGTCAAGAATTTTACCATAGAAGGACTGCAACAAATCAGTCAAAACCAAAATGACATTATAGAGAAAACTTGCCAAGAAATCCTCAAGTGTAAAGGGTCATATGCAGAGAATAAATGTTGTAATTGTTTAGACAAATACATTGATGATAATATATAGCACTTTCATTACTTTTTTCTTTTTGAACTTAAAAAAACCTGGTTTAAATAAAATCATGCAGCATTACACATTATAACATGTAGGTTCACACATTCACTTTTGCAACTTATGTAAATATTTTAAGATTAATTTCTTTCAATTAGAGAAAAAAAATACGTTACTATTTACAGCAACAAAGTGTTGTGTTCAACTACCTACTAGTCTCTTTTTAGTATTAGTATTAGTATCACTAGTAGATGTGTTGCAAGTAATTTTTTTATAAAATCCAAACCAATGTTCCCAAAATGCATTCAAAAAAATGTGGATCTGCATTTTTATGCACAATATTTTTGAGACAAGCTCCAAATTGCATCAACTTTCAAGCACTTCCTTCTATTCATACTTTTGAGGAATGTTTAAGAAGTCTGCTGAAAAAAGCTTTCATCAGTTTTACTTGCTAGTTTTTTTGTTCTGGTATAGAATTGGGTTGGATTGTATAGTTTTAAATATTTTTCTTTCATTTTGTTTTGCATTTTATTCCATTATTTTGTAGTTTAAATTATTGCACAATTCTGTTTCTAATTTATGCCTCCATCTTGGCCAGGACCACCTTGAAGAAGTAATTTTGTCTCTTTTTGGGACTTCCTGGTGAAATATAGGCAAATAAATTACTGGAACAAAAAGTGTAGAAAGTAAAAAAAAAAAATTTTTAACTTAGGTGCTGCCTGAGGGGCTCACTTGACGATAAAGTATTTTTCACACTTAGATATGAGTCACTCTTTCTGTATGGCCCACACTAATGGCCAACCCACTTTCTTCCCTTTAAACTTGTACAATGTGGGTAGGACACTCAGCTATCACCCCTCGACCTTCTAGCAACGACCTGCACTAAGGTTGGGTCACCATCATCAGAGGTGAACAGAGGTGCTGCCGCCGGTGTGGTAAGTCAGCACCTCTGCTACATCTGATCATAATTTTAGCAGATGTGAACCTTTAGTCACTGCTTAGCCAAACTGGTAGCAAGATATAGGTCAAGATGTGTTTTAAAGCCTCTGGTTGGACTTTTTTTGGCATTATGATTTTGATAGTTCATTACTTTTATGGTATCTGTTGATTTTATGGTTTTCATGCTTGCTTGTATGTGTTAGTGTACAGCACTTTGGCCAACAACGTTGTTTTTAAATTGTTTTATAAATATAGTTGTATTGTATTTTCTTGTAGGCTAAGATCCTCATTGCTAATACTTGGTTTGGTGCTACAAAATAAAGTCAAACAAATCATTATTTAACATTGCAGTACATTTTTGTGCCTTCCACAGACTTTTAATGTAATTTTATAACTATTTTAGCCTATAATTTCTGCATTTAAAAATCAAAGCATACGGAGCAGTAGGATGCAGTTGGATAATTTTTTTATTTTAATCTTTTAGTAGAAATGAACATCATTTTTTATATTAGCTGCATATTCTGGAAGAGTTTAAGCTGATAACGATGTTGGAGTTTTGACTGTTATCTAAAGAAGAAAATATTGTTTTTATATTCATACTTGCAAGGCTGTTAATTTGGTGCTGAATATTTAATTTAAAGAATTATTATGGTTTTATTTTTGTCCCAATTTAGTGATTTATTTAACCCATGCATTACTCAGATAAAGCCACTTCTAACAATTTATCACCTCAGATTTAGAACAAGGTGCACAACTTAGGTACATTTATATTTAAACAGCTGTATGACACTTTATTTTACAATTTGTTAGTGTTATAATAAACAGTCACTGCTGCAGTTGCATAAGCATATTAAACAAGAGTGCTTTAGTTTGTTTGTTTGTGACTCATTCACGTTTGTCCATTTGCTCAGGAAACTTATGACTGGTGGGAATACTCCCTTTCAAAATCCAATGAGTACAAATACAACCTGAAAACATGTACAGTACTTGCAGTTAGTGCTCGATGATATTTGTGAACATGGTTATTTTGATCAGTATTATATACTGATAGCCTGTTATTTTTTTTGTTTATTTTTTTTTTGGGTTTGGTTTTAGTGAAAACTGTTTCATTGCACTTTCACCTAAACGTTGTGTTGCTTTCACATTGTCATGTTACTTTCCTGCTTATGTACAAAGCATTGTATCAAAACAAGTTCATGGGTTCAAAATTACTTGTCTGGTAAGTTATCTTTTTATTTCAGTGGAATATTTTGAAGCCTGTCAGGCATATCGACACAAAACACCCATCACTGAAGTACTATAACTACCACCTCTGCATCTCACAGTGATTTTTTTGGGGGGGAGTATTTGATTTGCTTTTGCTTTGTGTTGGACCCAGGTAAACAAAAATTGGTCAAAAATTAGTAATAAATTATTCTACCAGTCACCAGAGAATATGAACAAAATTGTTAAGAGAGGTACAGTGAAGCAGGTAGAGTTTAGTTGTACGTTGATTATGGGTCTCTCTACCTCATTGACGTCTTGTGTGTGAATGTCTAGTGTTTGATTTGAGTCACTGTCAGATGCGAAATGAGACTTATGGACTTCAACTTTTAATTTTGTACACTTATTAATAATCTGTGGAAAATCTCATGGAAAAATCAAGATGACAGTGTAAATGTCCTTAGAAATGTAAATAAAACTGTCAGCAAACTTTTGTGAAATGAAACCCTACATTTACTTTAATTTCTATTAAATTAATAATTTAGTTTGCTTATATTTCGAAAAGCTTTTTTTTTTTTTTTTTTTAATTAATGGTCACATTTGATACTCTCGAATTGTGTTAAACCATTTTTTTTTTTAATGTCACTCATTTTCTTTTTCTTTTTTTTTTTTTAGACATCAGATTCGTCTTCGCCACTTACTGGGACTGACAAATGGGAAGTGTTGGCTCCCACAACAGGAGCAAATGATGAGTCTGGAATAATACAGATCCAAAGTCAGGGGATATTAACATCAAATGGACAGTATGTTCTTCCTCTCCAAAACTTGCAAAGTCAGCCAATTTTTGTGACGTCTGGAATGAACGACTCATCTGCCAATTCAGTGCCTAACATTCAGTACCAAGTAATTCCTCAGCTTCAGACAGGAGATGGACAGCTGAGCTTCTCCACATCAGGTGTCAAAGGACCAACCCTGACTCAGGATGCCACGGGGCAGATTCAGATATTGTCTGATGGGAGCCAGGGCCTCAACTTGACATCATCTGCAAACTTTCTTAACAACCAAAATCTCATTTCACAGACTGGTAATGTCCAACAGATCCAAGGGGTTTCTATTGGCAGCTCTACATTCAACAACCAAGGCCAGGTTGTTACCAATGTGCCTTTGGGCCTGCCGGGGAACATTACCTTTGTTCCCATTAACAGTGTCGACCTGGAATCCCTTGGCCTGTCAGGTGCTCAAACTATAGCAACAGGGGTCACTGCTGATGGCCAGCTAATTATGGCAAACCAGCCGGTGGATAGCTCAGAGAGTTTGAATAAAACAGATGATCACCTCTCACAGACACTATCAGTAAATAACTCAAATGCAAATACTGAGATCTTTGTGCCAACGTCTTCCTCTCAGCTGGATGCTCCAACAAATGAAGCTCTGCTGGCACAAGACGCTTCATTATCATCAGTTGCTGCAGAGCAATCCGACTCGAGTTCTGGCCTTCAGGAAGGCTTCGTCCAATCGAATCAGGAGCTCAACATCCAGGCATCCTCAGCTCAGTCCATCATCCAACTGCAGCAGATGCCTATTCAGACCACCAATGGTCAGGTGGTCCAGTCAGTGGCAACATCTGGTCAGAACCTGCAGAATTTGCAACTGATCAACCCAGGAACCTTCATCATCCAAGCTCAGACGGTCACACCATCAGGTCAGATACAGTGGCAAACCTTTCAGGTACAAGGAGTACAGAACCTTCAGAACCTCCAACTACCCACCTCCCCACCCCAGCAGATTACTCTGGCACCAGTCCAGACTCTGTCTCTGGGTAGCATTGGCGCAGGGCAGATTCCCAACCTGCAGACGGTCACAGTCAACTCAGCAGACCAACAGGAAGCAGACACAGATTCTCTTGGAGGTACAGAAGTTTTTTTTGTTTTTTTTTTGTTATATTAGAATATTTACATGAAAATAATATTTTCAGGCAGTAATAGTTCTTATTAAAGTTGTACAGACATATACAGACCTTGCTGCATTCACATCTGGTTGCAGTTCTAATTAGTTTAGTAACACTCATCTTTTACCCGCTTCTGCCATTTTGGGTCACGGGGGTCACCGGTGCCCATGTCCAGCAATCACTGTGGGAAGGGCGGGGTGCACCCTGGACAGGTCTCCAGTCCATCACAGGGCCACATAGAGACAAATGAGACAAACAACCATTCACTCTCTCACTCACACCTAGGGACACTTTAGAGTTACCAATCAGCCTAACATGCATGTTTTTGGTCTGTGGGAGGAAACCGGAGTACCCAGAGAAAACCCACGCATGCACAGAGAGAACATGCAAACCACCCAGAAAGGCCCCCGGACTGGGATTTGAACTGGGAACCTGCTCGCTGAGAGGCAGCAGCTCTACCAGTTGTGCCACCCTGCTCCTGTAATTTAAACATCATTAAAATTTCTAACAGTCTACAGCAGGTTATCAACATTGTGTCCAAAGTATAACGGCCCTTGTCTATCACATTTTTTAAAGTATTGTTTACAGATGGCTTTTTTGTTGCTAATTGAATTAAAACAAACAAAACAACATGATTAGTTAGTTAGTAGGCCTTACTCTCAAATGCAGGAAAACAAAACAAAAACTCGCCTATAAATATTTAAATAAATAAAAGCTGAGGACATTAAAATGTTGTGGTTTCAGGATGCTAAAATTGTTCACGTCAGCTGAAACTGACACTGTCGTGGGAACTCAAATAGGGCAGAACAATCCCTGATGGATTTAATTACACCTGCGCTTTTCATAATATGTCAAGTTAAAATGTCTGCATTAACGCTGCTCCATGATTTAGTCTGTGAAATCCTGACAATGTCACAAACACGGATGTTTTATTTTACACAAGAAAAACAAACAATAGTGTACAGACTAGTTTATGTTTATTGTTAATATGACAAGCTTCATAGTGTCAACAATATGTTATTCTTAATGTTTAATGTAACGTGATGATGGGCAACAAAATGTTTTCTTGTAACTGATTTTATTATTTATTTTCTTCTTGACTACCTGTTTTCGCAAAGACTGAGGTCTAATGGTGCTATCAACACTCCACACTGTACACGGTCTGCTTGTTTTTACTTGTTTATACTTATAACTCAGCGGTGATTGTTCTTCTTAATACGTTCTATTAAAAACTTAGAGATTTGGAGACTGAAAAGTTTGAGACTGTTATGGGAACTGGGGTGCAACTTTAATTACAACATTAAAGTAGTCCCTCGTTTATCGTGGGGGTTACGTTCCGGCCCCCCACCCCCCCCCCCCCCCCCCCGGCAATAAGTGGAAAAACTGTCTAATGCTATTTTTATTTTATATTTAATTTTATTTAACACTTAAGTTAAACTGACATAGATTTCTTAGCTGAAACAACACACCAAAACAACATAAGTATATGTACTGCACAGTTAGCTACTGCAAAATTTTATATGGGTACTCACCAGCCTTGGTCCGGTTCTGATCGTCTCTCTGCAGCTCTTGAGCACCAAGACGCTTTTAGAGAGAGCTGGACCTTCGGATAGCCAGCACAAAACCACACAGTGGTCCCGATCGAGTCCAAATCCGGATGATAAAAGTCCCGGTGAGCTCTGGAGAAAACACTGGACCTCCAAGCAATACCTCCCTGTTCGAGAGGCCTCATGGGTTGGCAAGCAGCTCTCAGACTGACCGATGAGGCTGGAAGTCCAGTTCTGGTCCAATTCCAGTCGGTTCCGTACGGCTCTCTGCATCCACTGAGTGACAAAGTCACTATGAATAAGAACTGAACTTTTTCGGATCGGATCAAAACTTTCCCTCCATTTCAGCAGAAAGCAACTTTGGCTTCTGGGTAATGTAGTCCTTTTGACTGGTGATGCAGTGCAGGCTTATTGATAGAAAACTACAAAATGGCGGCCCCTGTCTGAAGTTTTTTTTTGTTGTTATTGTTAACTTTTTACAGTATCTCATACCGTCCCAATCACTTAGTAATATTAAAGTTGACGATGGTGTGTCGTGTACAATCTTTTTTTTTTATTGCGTACAATCTTACTTTGAAAAATAGCGAAAGAGCGAGTCCACAAAAGTCGAAGTCACGAGGGACTACTGTACTTCAATTGTTTTCTCTTGTTTCATTAGTACAACTGATGGTAAAGCTGAAGTGATGAAACACTCATTGGCTGAGTGAACCTCAAGCTTCACTGCTACTCAGTTTTGTTTATTTTCATAATGCTAATGTTAGCAATTGATATTGATATTGGGAAAATTTTACTCTTTAATTTAGGAAGGCAAAAACTCAAACCCAGAAACTAAAACAAAAAAAAAGACAGCCTTATAAATGAGTTGGTGGGAAGTGGTGTGTTCTGAATCATCTGTGATCACCTCCTGTACTGGCCCAATAATGCAACATCACACCCATCTCTCTCTCTCAGCCCCCCCCTAGTTATGTTGCTTTGGCTTACAAACACTATGGAAAATTGAGGGCGCCCCTCCTCAAACAGGCTATGAACACATTTGCACATTGTTCACATTTGTTGGCAATTTGGTAATTATTTTACCACTTTTGTCATTTAGATCTTAAAGAAAGCCAAAAAGTGTCAGCATTTAGAGTTTGTGCTTCTTACTAACATAATCTGAACAATAATTTCAGATATTCGGATCAAGGAAGAGCCTGACTCTGGAGACTGGCTGAGCACCAATTCTACCCTGAACGCAAATGATCTGTCGCATCTCCCTGGCAGCATGATTGATGACGAAGATCAGTTCGGTCAGGAGGGCAAGAGGCTGCGCAGGGTGGCATGCACTTGTCCTAACTGCAAAGAGTCTGTGGGGAGGTGAGTTAACCTGACTCGATGTTTGACTAGTTCTCTGACTGGATCTTAAGCATCTCAACCCGTGTTTCTCAGGGGGTCCAGCACGGGCAAGAAGAAGCAGCACGTCTGCCACATCGTGGGGTGCGGGAAAGTCTATGGAAAGACGTCACACCTGCGAGCACACCTGCGATGGCATTCAGGGGAGCGACCTTTTGTTTGCAGCTGGATGTTCTGTGGGAAAAGGTTCACACGCAGCGATGAACTGCAGAGGCACAGGAGAACACACACAGGTGCCCCTCTTTTCTTTCTCCCTTGGGAGTGCACATCAGGAACATGTCCAAGTCAGCTACATTGTGTTAATTTGTGCCCTGCAAAGCATGAGTCATGCAAGAAATAATATCTGCACACGAGATACAGTCTGATCATCATCCTATTAGAAACACACAGATTTGACAAGTCATTTAATAGCTATGGATTGTGTTCAATCTGCTCGGCTGTCAGTTTTAACTGATTTCTTAACACCAGGTTATACAATAAACAAAAGAGCTTCACTTTTCAGAACTCTAGCTTTTGCATGTATGCTTCATGTCCATAATGCAATGCAAAATATTGATTGAGACATCCAGCTAGATATACCAGAATAAGATTGTAATTTGTGGTATCTGATGACACTTAATGGCTAGAGAGACCTTTGAAGAGGATATCACCACTTGCTCGTACTGATGTTGTTTTACCCAAGCATATTATTGTCAGTGAGGCCTCTGACAAGATGGGCTAGAGTAGCATTTCATTACGCTGTCAGCTGCAACTGTTAGCATTCAGTTAACTTTTCAAGAGGATATTTAATCTTCTAGGCTTCCAGTTGGTGATAATTGTAATCTGTTGTGTAGTTTCAATTTGACAGTGACAGATTGGCTTTAGAGGCTTAAATCAGATCAAACATTTGGGTCCATGTTATGCAGCCTTTAGTTATAGTGTCTGAAATGTAAGAAAAAAGCATTTTGAGTTTCTTTCACCGCTTTGGTTTTTAGTTATTTTTTTATTTCCAAGTTTGCGTACCACTTTTATGAACTTTAGTTGAATTATCTGTTTTTAAACGGCACATTTAACTCTCTCCTAATGTATTTTGGCACCGAACTTTGTAAAACTGTATTTTCTTTTTGGCAGGAGAGAAGAAGTTTGTCTGCCCGGAATGTTCCAAGCGCTTCATGCGGAGCGACCACCTGGCGAAGCACATTAAAACTCATCAGAACAAAAAAGGCGTGAGCTCCGGCAACACAGTGGTGGCCTCCGTGGAGTCAGCAGGTTCTTCTGACAGCATCATCACGGCCAGCGGAACCACCCTCATCCTCACCAACATCCAGCAGGGCTCTAACAACGCCCAGGACATACTGGCCAACGCAGAGATTCCCCTCCAGCTTGTCACCACAGTCGCTGCCAGTGAAGTTATGAAGTGATTTACTCTCTACTTATGAACTCCTCTTATACTGTATTCTCCTATGTGCATTTTTATTCAAGTTTTGAAGGAAAATTATATATAAACACAGATTTAGTCCGTGTCCACGCTGTTATTGTGGAGGAAGGAAAAGCAAGCGGCGACTAAAAATGAGGAAACCAAGACGTTGCAGTAAACACACAAAGAAATGCCTTATTTTGTACAAAATTGGAAATTGTAGGATTCCACTTTGTTTTAATTGTACTTATTTGTTAATATTGTGTTTTTCATGGAAAGTTGTTGCTAAGTTGAGCATTTTATTGATTTCTTTTGCTTCTGTTCTCTGTAAGCAAAACTTATTCTGTTTTCCTTTCAGCAGAGACTAAATCCTGCAGCAGAACTAAATTTTATCCATCCAAAGTGAATTTATTAAGTCCATGCAAATATTTCACGTTATGTGGGTTTTAATTATTGTTATGCATCATTATCTGACCGTTGGTCTGCTTGCGAAGAAGCTCTTTTCTTATGAATGTGTTGTTTTTTTGTTCTCTCACAATAGAGAAAAATGAAAAACAATCGAAAAATGTTATTGTAATTTGTCTCGGACTTATATTGTTAATACATCATTCGCTTAGATACTAATTTTACTCAACAGCTATTTTTATTATGTTTTTACGTCCTAATATTGAAAATATTTAAATCTACTCCAATATGTAATTCAAATGTGCTTTTTGTACCCTTTCATGGAAACTTCCAAACAAAAAACGTAATATTTTAAACAGCCATTTTATTTTTTTTATTTTTTTTGTGGTTATTGCCAAATTTGACTCCAAGCTCAGGGTGACTCCACTGCGTGCTATAAATAGAGTAAATAGCCCCAGTAGATTTGCAGGCCATGGTGATTTTTTTCTTTTCTTTCAATTTAATCAACGAAATGCTGATTGAATTGTCATTATGCCATGTTACCTATGCCTGCTGAATCCTATCACAGTTTTAATTTTGCAACACAGTTTTTACCACGTGTTCTGCTCTATCAGTGCGATCACAATATTAGAAAGATGAGCGATTTCTGAAGGGGATACACATTAACAGCACTGTCGTCATCACGTTAATCCTCTGTCCCTTTGGATGCAAAAGTTTAGCAAGATTCTCTTTAATATCCCTCTTGTTAGTAAATATACCTTTTTACCTTGTTTTCTTTTAAATGTGTTACATTCCCCCTATTTTCCATGTTGCGCTATGTCGATCTTTTTTCCTAATCCTAAATGGATGAGTTGAACACAGATGCACACAGAACTGAACAGTGATTGTAATGGTAATGTGATTGGGTCTACTTTGTTTTGTTTTTTTCTTTCATTGAGACAATGAAGAACACGTTATGAGGTCGATGTTCTTTCTTTTGTTGACTCCTTCAGGATGTTTCTACATCAGAATATGCTGAAACATGCAGCATATTTACAGTCTTTTAATAAATTCTGGAGGTTTGTCTTCATTTCAGTCTTCTGTATAAATCTTGATAGATATATAACAATATAAATCTTTGTTACACTTGAAAGTCCTTTTTGATTATTTTAAAGATAATTGTCAGTTGATTCTTGATGGTGAGTTATTTTGTACCACAATTAGACATTTTATCTAAAAGGTTGTTGCTGTTTTTATATGATGTCATGTCAGCTGGTCAGTAGTTTTAGTCTTTTTTTTTTTTTCCCTCCCCTTTGCAGTTTACTCCCTGGGTTTGTAGTCCAGTAGATGTCACTGCAGCCATAGGAGCAGGAAGAGAGCCACATTGACCCCTTGACCTTCCCGGGGTGGTGCTGCTTTGGTGAAGATAGGAGTCATGAGGCCAACTGCTGGTGCAGACCCTCAATTAACTGCAAGTTAATGTCACACTGAAATGTCAAAAGTATTCAGCTGCTAGAGAACAAAGCTCTGCCTCATGACTTTGAACAAACCTTACCGAGGCGTGATGGGTAACAACTCATTCAATGACCCCAGTTCATTCACACTTGAATAGATTATTAAAGAATACATTGAGAAATGAGCTGCTATAGGTCTGGCATGTTACAACTGTTTTCTGTTTTGTCCAGATTTGTTAAAATCTGTGTTCAGTCAGATTAATATTTTCACTAGTAGCTCACGTCCTGCACCTCTGCCTCCTGCTAATTAGGTGCTGCGCCTTTTTTATTATTATTAGACTCGAGACAGTGGCGTAAGAGAATTACAAGCATATTATAGCCTACCTGGCATTAGCATTTAAGAGCGTCATTAAAAGGGTGATCTGTGAAACGGCGCTATCTGATAAATCTGAGCGAGAAGCACATGGTTTTAAGTCAGTTTGGTGAAAACAACTCAAAAGATGTGTTTTATAGTGTTGGGGGGGGGGGGGGGGGGAACACATCTCATCTCCTTCGTTTCATTTGCATAAATTAATGAATCATATTCATTGTAATGCAATACCAAGTGCACCAGAAACATAGAATGACAGTTTGAGTTAATGAAATGTGTTAACGGTATCATCATTTACTTGTATGTTAATTAGTCCAATTAATTTCCCCTGCTCGGTAATCTGAATATTGTAATAATCTTTGCTTCCCTGAAGGAATAAAACCTGATACACAGGCCTCGGGGACAGTCGGAGCTGGGGATTCAGTGTGTAGGTTTTCTTCTTCTTTCCCAGATTGTTAAAAATGCTGCCGAGTTAAAAGGAGTTTAACGTGATTTTTTTTTAAAATAATCCAAGATGCCATAATTTATATACATCGTTTGGATTATTTATTTATTTTTACTCTTGAATGCTGTTTAGCTGTGCCTTAAAGGCAGAGGTGGGTTACTTTTTTCCCAAAGGGCCACATCAAGACGTTTAAAGCAACCAATGGACCATATAGAGAATTGGAAAATACATTTTCTTCATGATGGATAATCTAGAAGATCTTTTCTTATTGTAGCATAGTTAGCTTTATAAAACAAGTCTTTCCAAAATTCTTTAGGAATAGAAAACACTTTCTGTAAACTGGCTCTTGTGACAATGTTAGCTTAACGAGTTATACATGTAAAACAAACTTATATATTTGTGTTTCCAAGTCTTTAAAATTCAGTCTAGTTCTGGAAACACAATAACTTAAATGTTGTTGTTTTTAAGTTTTACGTGAGATATTTAATTTAAATTTCCTTAAGTCTCATTAATAAATTGCTGCTTTTTTAATCAATCTTTATTTTAAAAAGGTTTTATTTTTAATCTAAGGGTATTGAGGGCCTGATGGAGATTGTCCATGCGCCACTTTTGGTCCTTGGGTCTTAAGTTGCCCACATCTGCTTAAAGGGGTAGTTCAGGTCATTTAAAGTGAGGTTCTTGGGGAAAAAAAAAAACATTTATTATCTGTTTTCTCAGGATTAAACACAATTTCTCCAAACGTCAGTTTCAAGAGTTTTCTACCATAGTTCAGAACAATTCCACAAAACCTTAAAAAGGATCTGAGCTTTTAAATATATGTAAATACACTGACATATTAAAGCCAGAATAACTTTCTTACTTGACAAAATGTTGTTGTTTTTTTTTTGTTTGTTTTTTTTAAATAGTTTTTATAGCCATATTAGATGAGGACTACTGTAGTACTGTATTTCAGGTTAAAGTGAAGGAACTAGAGGTCATGTGACCGCTGAGCATGGCTGGTACTTTCCACGCTGCCGTTTTAAGTGACTAACTGGACATGAGGCTAACTTTGTCAACAAACTTCCTTTATTTGTGTTCTGACAAGTATGTCAGCATCACTGCAGACCACATTAAGAGGAGCTTTCAGCGTCCCAGTTAATGAGTCTTAAGAGGAACCTTTGATTTAATCACAAAGAAATGCAGACGGTGACTTTGACTTGGTGAATGCAGCAAACACTCACAGAATCTTGTAATTGTTGCGGTGTGAGCATAACGTAAAACACATTTTGCAAGCTGAGCGAAGAGAATTCAACTTCAGTCTTATTTTGTAGAGCCAAAGCTTTTTCAATTACACAACTGCGGTGTCTTTTGTGACGGACGGGTGTCATTTCTCACTGTGCTGACATTACAAGTTGTCTATGAGATTTTATAGCCCCAGATAGCTTTGGTTGTTCTTCGAATTGCAGTCTTAATTGTACGTGGTGCTCAGCTTCTCCAATTCATGTGCAAAATGCATAAATAAAATAACTACGTAGCGGGAGAGGAACACTGTAATCATGCAATAACATTTTCGACTCTATGTGTGGTAGAATTCAAAATGCTGTTGGGATTATGGTTCTTAACCATTGGGAGGTAATGTGAACTGTTGGCAGAAATGACTTATTTCATTATGCTGTCCCAAATATATGAAATACATCAGCAAGAGGGTTGCTTCTTCCCAAGCCGTGCCCAATTTTAACATTTTTTCCCCAGTTGTTGAAGGATAGGCCTGCAATTTTGCAAAATGACTATTATTTGCCTTTCTCAAGGAATCAACAACTTGAAAGTACAGTGCAATGAATTGTTGGGGTTCTGCAGCTGCATTCATTTACATTGTGTCTTTTTTTTTTTTTTTTCAGCGGCAGCTCAGAGTTTAACGCAGAAAACTGTTATTTATTTTCTTTGGGATATGAGCTGCAAAGTCTCTTCATAAATGGAAAGCACTTACCATCCTGCCTAATGTATTTGTTTACAGCAGGAATACTGCTGCCTTTTTTTTTTATTAAACCATTAGAACACTGAAGACAGCATTTTTAAAAGTGTCGCGTCTCTACATCCCTGACACATTCTTGCCCTTGATCAACTACAAAAGTCAAATGCTCAGATCATTTTTCCCAGCATGGATCAACTCAATAACCCGATATTCCTTGTCTTTGGATTGTAGCCAATTTAGCAGAAGGTCAGTACCTTTTTTTTTACATTGTAGACCATTTGGTGACCTCCCTCTGGATGCCCAGCAGGACCAGAGAAGACAAACAGAATTGTAAAGACAAAAAGTGCTTGCATTCACATTGCGTTAAAGTCTGGACTTCTCAAGGTGAACAGATACCTGGTGTGGGACAGGGGAGCTATCATGTAAACTAAAAGTGGTCACAAGTCGCAGTTCGATGCTCAGATATTGAGTTGTTTTGTATTTTTGGTTCTTATTATCCATGTTGGAGAAATGTTAACATCTAAAATTGCACAGATTAGGACCGTCTGTCTTCCATCTTCTTTTTTTAAGTTGCAGAGGTGCCCT